CGGTGGTAGAGAGGAATAGTAAAAGTGCCATGGGCTGCCAGAAGAACACACAAATCTTTGTTACAAGGACAGCCAGTGTGCTCCTTGAGAGCTGGCGAGACTCTCTCTTTTACTTTAGACACACTGCTACGAAGGACCAATTTCTGAAGAAGGACGTAATGCTTGGTAAAAAGGAGGTTCAGCAAAAAACAGGAAGACCCACAACGAGATGGACTGACAGTGGCAGCAGCAGGGGGCTCCAACCAAACAATGATTGGGAGGCTGGCGCAGGACCGGGCGGTGCTTCCTTCTCCACGGTCGTCGACATTCACCAGGCAGATCTTGCTCGTGTGTCCACGCGACCAGGACCTCTTGTCGGCACCTCCGTGTGCCAGATGCTGTGTTCTAGGCACTGGGATGCCGGAGTGAACAAACCACCCTAGTCTGTCTTGGGGCTGGCACACTCGAGGCCGGTGACGCCCTGTCACAGTAGTGATGAGCTCCTGACAGACAATGAGTGCGACAGTCCGTGGGTCCCGATTGTGAGCTGAGTGAAGGTGGACAGAGCAGACCACACGCTTTGTTTCATCTCAGTGACTGTAACCCCTCCATGCATCAACAGTGGTCCCACTTCCTCTTTGTACTTCACAGTTCCATCCCACCCTTCTTCCCGGCCCTTCTCAACCTTGGCCATGGGGAAGTGCTGCTCCTTTCACCTTGAGTGGCTGACTGTTCCGTGGTGAACAGGCCTCACTAGTGTTGTACCCCCGATGTTGTTAAGTGCTGTCAAGTCGGTTCCAACCCATAGCGACCCTGAATAAGGTTTCCGAGCAGTGGCTGGTGAGCTTGAACCACCAACCTTTCAGGTCAAACTGACCTTGCAGTCCAGTGCATTAGCCCATAGCACCACACCAGGACTCCAGCTATATGTCTAACCTGTGTGAAAATGGGGCCGCAGATGAGTTCGGTTCCAGACCTGAAGGGTGGACGATGGCCAGAGACTCGGGATTCTGTCAGTCTCTGACCAGTAAGCCCGGTCTTTCTATGATTCTGAGCTTTGTTCCACATTGTCTTGTGCTGTATCCGGGACATGCCAATGTGGGCTCCCTTTCAGAGCAGTTGGTAGTGGTAGCTGGGCACCATCTAGTTCTAATGGTCTCAGGGTCGTGGAGACGGAGGCTCTTGTGGGCCATTACTCCGTTGGACTCATTGTGTCCGAATGGCTTCAGTTTTCAGGGAGAGACCAATAGCTGCACCTTACATGGCCGCTGGTGAGCTTGGAAGGTTCTAGTGTAAAGGAAGTAGTCCTATCAGCCTTATCTGTTTGTCCCTAGATGTTCCCAGGGGAGCTGTGACTTTCGTGCCTTTGGAAGAAGACACCGAAGGGAACATAAAGGTTAAGATGAGCAACGTTTATCAGATTCAGCTGCATCAAGGCCAGGAGGCATGGTGAGACTCTGTTCACTGTTGATTGGCTCACTGAACTGTCTTTTAGGGAACGGAGAGATTCTGGGGCATGTGACAAGTGAGAACTGAAACCAGCTCTGCTCATTCATGTTTCTCTTATTTTTGAAGGTTCATATCTGTTTTAATTTTCTGTCCAGAAAGATGGCATTCTGATGGGATTGTGTATCCCAGACCCACCTGGCTTGGAAGCGAGCTTCTAACCAGGCTGGCCAAGTGGGCGGTGGAGAGCAAGAAGAGTGAGTTTACGAAGACGCTCTCTCTAGTCCCCATCACCAAGTACAGCCAACTCTACCAGGAGCTCAAGGAGCAGTATAAGGAGATGGTGAAGGTAACGCTCAGCCCTGGTGACGCACTGGCGCAAGTGTTGGGGTGTGGGCTGGAAGGTCTGTGGGAGGAAGTTGTGTACCTTGTGAGGACATCCCTGTCTCCAGACTCACTATGAGTCGGAACCAGCTTGGCAGTAGCTGTGGCTTTTGGTGTTTGAGGCGACCCTGAGGGGAAATCCTCAAGTCATCCCACCTCCCTGCCCCCCATGTAAATGAGAGATCACGACTGCATGAGGAAAGCAACTGCAGACTGAGTTTGTACAGAGGTGCGTGGTGGGTGAGAATAGGCCCCGGGGAGGACCC